TGCCAAATTGCAGGCAGCCGGCAGTCAGCGGAGGTAGCCTGCAGTACCGCACTCTAACCACTGCGCCACCACGGCTCAGTGTTAAGTTGAAGACTACCTGTGTATCAATGGGCCCCTTGCAATATAGTCAGGCATTTCTACCTTAGAGCACCTCTTTTTGTCTACATGATAAAACTGTGATGTAATTGACATTTTAAGGGCGTACTCACTGCTTTTCCGGTTGGACGATTGCAATCTTTCTCTTCCTGTGCGCTGGAAAACGAGAACGAGGACAAGGGTTAATCTGGCAATGTCAATTTGCAAATGGACAAGGGTGTGTGCTTCCCTGCAGGAAAATTAAAGATTTCTCTCGCCCTTTTCAAATGTGCAGGTAGTCCTCGGCTTACGACTGCAATCAAGCCCAACGTGTCTCTTGTTAAATGAGATGTGTGTTAATGGGAATTTGGCCCTTTTTTTTAAACGACCTTTCTTGCCAGACTCGTGAAGTGCCTCTCTGCAGTCGATAAATCAGTAACTCTATTGCTAAGTTGAATCCGGCTTCCCCACTGACTGGACGTGTCCAAGAAGGTCGCAAAAGGGGATCATATGACCTTGGGAACGCAGCAACGATCATAAATAGGAACCGGCGGCCAAGCATCTGAATTTTGATCACGTGACTGTGGAGATTCTGCATAGGCCGCCACTGTGGAAAAACGGTCGTAAGTCACTTTTTTCAGTGCCTTTGTCACTTCAAACAGGCACTATTTTAACTCCGGGTGGGTGGGTGGGGTGAGTCTGCCTACCAAGATGAGGTGGACCGGTTGCTTTCGTGGTGTGGAGACCATAACTTGGTCCTCAACACCAATAAGACCAAGGAGCTGATAGTGGATTATAGAGAAGGAACAGATCAGACCTCCAGCTCTGGCTTATCAAGGGAGACCGAGTGGAGCAAGTGGACAGTTTTAAGTTTCTGGGTGTTACCCTAAAAGAGGACCTGACCTGGGGTGCTCACATTGCAGCCCTGGTCAAAAGGGCCCAGCAGAGATTATACTACCCGAGACTTCTCAGAAAACAACAACTGAATGAAAAACTGCTGGTGACCATCTACTGCTACACCATAGAGAGTATTTTAATTTACTGCACTTCTGTATGGTTTGCCAATTGCACAGTGGCAGATAGGACAGCACCCCAGAGGGTTAAGGTCATTGCCCAGAAGATCATGGGTTGCCCTCTCCCCTCTTTGGAAGAGCTTCATAGCTCCCGCTGCCTTAAGAAAGTTCAAAACATTCTCAAAGATCCATTTCATCCTGGGAACCCATTTTTTGAACTATTACCATCTGGCAGATGTTACAGGGTAAAAAAAAAACAAGGACAAATAGGCTGAAAAACAACTTCTATCCCAGGGCAGTAGCTCTTTTGAATTCTACTGTTGTTGTGGTTCGCCGGCAGCAGGTGTGGACAGCTGAGGTCTCGGAGAGCGAGGACTCAGATGCAGGGCCTGTGTGTGATGCAGGGATGGAGCCAGAACCACCAGGGAGTAGAATGCTACCTTTGGAGATTGTGGAGGCTGGCAGCAGTGATGAAGAGGCCCCCGAGGAGCCCCTGCCCAGCGTGCGTGCGCACAGGGCTGCTCGAAGGAAAGAGCAGCTGCAGTAGCATGGGCGATTCGGGAGTAAGGCTGGAAGGTAATGGCCCCTCCCTGAGAAGATAAAAGCCAGCTGAGAAACCGGAGTTCTTTGCAGAAGGCAAAGAAGTTTGATATTCGAGCCTAGTGGACGTTAGAATATCTGGGTTGGTGTTTGGAGACTCTTTGATTTATTGTTAGGAACTTTATCTGTTGTTCTTGGCAGCCTTGCGAAAACTTGGCAAGACTCTTTCTTGTCAGAGCTAATTAGTTCGAAGCAGCCCTTTATCTGTGAAGAAACAGGATTCGTAAATGAAACAGTAAAAGGTTGTGCTGGTACCTTTGTCTTGTGTTTACTCTCAAGGAACCAGGTTTGGGTCAGAACAATTGTATATAGTAAACTGAAGATGGTATTTAATTTCGTTGTACGATGTGCAATGACAATAAACTAAACTAAACAGACGGTTGAAATTCGAGGACTGCCTGTATAGTCTTAGACAATGCATTCTGAAGACAATGTGTTCATTTTTAAGTAGAGGCCAAACAACGGAATGATTATTGCAAAACTTAGCAATCGAAATTTGCTCTTCCGGGTACCTACCGGTGTTTTTATGCGGTGCCCAGAGTTTGTAACCATTTGCTTCACACCAGCCCACAGGGAAGATGTCCATTGATTCCACATCGACTATATATTCGGAAGGAGGTACGTGAGGAAGACCTATTGAGGCATTAGAATGCATTACAAACACCAGAAATTAATTACAAGGGATTAGATGTCTTTATAAAGCAATAAGAGAAACTAGTGTAATAGGCATACTGAATATTACTTATATTATATATATGGGAATGTGATTATTATTATTATATTGTTATACTGTTAAGAAGAATATTATTAGTAATTGTTAAGCACATGAAATATGTACCTAATCGACACACAATTGAAATGGAATGGATTTATTGTATGTTAAAAGAAATAAAAAAATAATTAAAAAAAATAAAGATATGCCAGGAAGGCAGCAATTTGGTGGCAAAAAGAAAAGGCACAGATACATCCACGTGGGGAGAAGAATTTGTGCCGTCCTGTCATGCCCGTGTGGGAATCTGACTCGGCGGGAGAAGCCGAACAGCTGACAGGGAGTGGGAGGAAAGAAAGGATAGAAGGATGAAAAGAAAGAGAAAGAAAGAAAGAAAGAAACAAAGGAGGGAGGGAGGTTGGGAGGAAGAAAAAAGAGAGGGAAGGAAGGATAGAAGGAAGGATGAAAAGAAAGGAGGAAGGAAAAAGAGAGGGAAGAAAGATAGAAGGATGAAAGAAAGAGAAAGAAAGGAGGGAGGGAAGGAAGGAAGGAAGAAAAAAGAAAGAGAAGAAAGGATACAAAGAAGGATGGATGGAAAGAAAGAAAGGAAAAAAGAAAGAGAGAGAAAGAAAGAGGGAGGGAAGGAAAGATGGAAGGATGGATGGAAGGAAGGAAAGAAAGGAGGGAGGAAAGGAAGGAAGGAAAGACAGAAGGATGGAAGGAAAGAAAAGGCAGGGATGGAGGTAAGGAAGGATTGAAGGAAAGAAGGACTGGAAGGAGGGAGGCAAGGAGGGAGGAGATGGAAGGGGGAGGGAGTGAAGAAAGAGAAAGAAAGAAAGAAAGAAAGAAAGAAAGAAAGAAAGAAAGAAAGAAAGAAAGAAAGAAAGAAAGAAAGAAAGAAAG